ATTGCTTCCTCTATGCGAGTCGCACTGGGATTTTTCCGAGCGCGTGCGTGTTGGCCAACCCGCGATTTCTAAGATCATTCGCGGAAAGATAGATGTATGAAGTCACAGGAGTGTATCAACGGTTGCGGTCGCTGGAATATTGGGCACACTCGCAAATCCTCACAACTGCACGTGCGTGTGGCGCTCAACCTAACCCCGAGTTCCTGAGAAAACGCTGCTGCTGTGGCCGTAAACCAAAAAAGAGGTGAGCGGTGACGCACGCGCGGTACCGAAAGAAGCTGCTCTTTTCGTAGAAGGCACGTTTCGAGACAGCGGTATCAGGACCCCTCCTCAAAAATACTGTTGTTGTTGTCGATGATGATGTTTTTGATGATGATGTTGTTGTTGTTGTCTTCACAGAGAAAACCGTTCCGGCCTCTGCTCATTAACTCCTAACATCCGTACCCGTTCAACTGACGAAGATGCCTTCTGTAGATACAGGCCAACTACAGCGAACAGGGTACACACCTCTAAAAACCTTGCAACAGAAAAACACATCACATCACGAAAGAGATTAGTCTACTGCTGTACCCGTCGAGCGACATCGTACACGAGCGACATCGCGCACGGAGGACTACTGGTAGGTGTATGCTACCCTTAAGATCCTACGATAATAACTCACCGCCTTTTGGTTTTATCGACCAGCGTGCCGTCCTGTCGGCAGTCCTTCTTCATGTGCCGCCGCATGACCATGCTCGAGGACTTCCTGCGCTCGTTCGCTTCCTCGCCCTTGGTGGTGGGGAAAAGCCTTACGATATCCACGAGGGACGTCCAGACAAAAAAACGGCCAGCAGCAGCGGCAGCAGCAGCAGCAGCAGCAGCAGAAAACACGCCGTGCAAGGGGATGGTGGCGGTGTGGGGGGTCGATTGAGGACGGTACGCCAAGGGGCCAGTCGTTTCGGGGCACCAAAACGCCACCACTCTCGCTCAAAGTAACTTCTTCGACCACGCCAACAGGCTGACCAATGATAAGATGCATATGTCAGTCTTATCGTGGGGTAGCAAGATCTTGGGTCCTGTGATGGTGTCTGTGGGTGTTTACTATTTAGCATTGAGCGCGCTAAACGGCCGAACAAGAAGAACGTGTCTTTACTGTTAGCATCGACTGCGCCAGGTGGCTGCTGAACAACAATATGTCAATGTCAGTGGGGCTAAAAATGGAACACGTTTTAAGAGGGCATGATCTGGGACCCCGTGAGGGGGGGTATGCGCGAGGCTATAGGCCGTTCTCCGGAGTAAACGCAAAAACGGTAGCCCCAGAAGGAGAGCAATGTACGTGTGGTGCGGTTCGTGAAACGCATCTGTGTCCACGGGGGCATCGAAGCAGGGCCTTTGTTTGCCGTCATCACGAGCAGTGGCTCATTACGTAGAGACACGTAGAGAATACTCCGCAACTAACCGAGTTTACACACCATGCGTACGCCCATATCTGCATCCTGTGTACGGCACAAGACAACACCCCGAAGACAGAACACCTAGCAAGCACAAACAATACCACACCAGGTGGAAAGACTTTTTTCACGGGCCAACATGGGTCCAAAATAATAACCAATTGGCCGATCAAATAAAAAAGGGGCACATGACATACGTCAGTCGCCCACATCAACACTCCAAGTTGCTGGAAAGATTCAAAACGTTGGACACCACCAGGTGTGTATTCTCGTGGTAAGTAGAGTGTGCACGTACATACGTACATACGGACGCCACCAGTGTATTTTTGTGCCACCCTCGGGTTCTTGCTTCTCTGGGTTCTCAATAGTTTTGGTATGAGGTGTCAGGGTTCGGGTTACCAGGTTTCGACACGTTTGGACCCAAATGTTGCATGCTTACTCCTAATGCTGTATAGACGACACGGCGGTAAAACAAGATTCGCAAACAACAGAGGGCCATTCTACCGAACGACCTTGGTCCAGCTAGATTGGTCCACCCTCGATCATAGTCTATCATACACCAAAAGTGTCCTAAGCGGTAGGGGGGGATCTTCGTGAAGCCCGGCGGAGAATACCATACACCATGGTACAGGTTTTGGGAACCCAGCCTTGCTGCTATTGTACAAGGTGCAAAACCCGAGGCCGCCCACGGGTCCTCCACAATCAATCCATCATTCATTCCGGCAACATTGTAGAACGAACGTATCTACATTTACGCTCTGGAGAAAAACCCATCAAGCCCGTCTGCCTTGTTTCGGGACCCCATGCGAGACCCCATGCAGAGTTCATCTAGACTTTCAGTTTCCCTGCCATACTCCCGGCATGTGTGCCGCCGGGAGACCCGCGTCGCATCGTCAACACCAAGATACAAAAATTTCACGCAAGAGCTGGCTTTCTCTTCCTCGGATCACGTTGATGAGTGACGTCTCCCACGTACAATCACACGCCTGCTCTGCTTTTGGAGGAGCACGAGAAGTCTAGGCGAAGGAGAGTGTGCGAGAGAGAGCGCTGAGACCTGAATCAACTAGGTAGTGTGTAGGCCCGCTGTTGATGCGCCGGGTGAGATGAAAATGATGGGACGCCGACATGATGAGGTCGACGTTTAGCTGTACACGACAATACTGCATGGTCGAGACTGCAAATTCGCAAGTTCCCACATGTTTTGAATACGTAGCACGTGTTATTCGGTCGCCATCGTGCACGCATACATCCTCACACCGATGCCCTGGCTCAGTCTTCGGTCTCAGGCGCCCGCTACACATCTCCTTTCACGCAGGTGGTCAGCGTTGGGACGGATTCGTCCAATCGACTCACCTCTCGTCTTTCGGAGCGCCGGAGACAGCGTTCGAAAACAAGGGATTGTGAAACCCGCTGACGGCGACATCGTCTTGGGCGTCCGCTTCCGCCTCCTTGCCAATACCAATCAATTCCGCCATATTTCTCAAGCGTCCCACACACGTCTTCACCACCTTGTAGTATGCAGAGGATTCGTGTGTATCGTGGGGCGTCTCGTGGGGTAGGGGTGTGAAGAGAAAAGCGAAGACGAGCGCGAGAGAGCGAGCGACAGAGATGTGCAGTTGTCCAGGAACGGAAAGTTCAGAATTCGAACCTGTGACGTTACGATTGGCGAGTTACATTTGTTTTTTTATCGGTTTCCGAGGGCTCTTTTCTCGAACGGTCGGTGCGATACAGCTGTAGTAGCACATTCTACCTACTGCTGTGTCGAGAGGAGGAGAGCATAAATGCGCTGAGTTACCTTCCCAGGGGGGGGGTCGAAAAAGGGGTGTAACGGTTGAAATCGGCATCTCGGCACCTCCCTCCTCCCTCCCATCTCTCTCCAAGATAATCGTTGGATTGTTAGACTACACAGGGGTACCATAGTTTACCTTGGGCTCAAGGACTTGGTGTGGCAACAGGCTTCAAGGTGCACAATACAGGGAAGATGGGTTTGTAGGAATAGTCTGTGGGCATAATGTTATCTTGTAGCGGTCTTGGTGTCATCCCGTGTATTTGGTCGGCCACTTCAGTTTTTAACGCTGTTCTTGATGATCATTAAATTTGGGAAGTGCACTGCTGTCGTGAGCCGAGCAGGAGCTATGGGCCCTCTTTCTTCTTCGTTCTGTGTAAGATGTCCCTATTTTCTACCCATTTTTCTTTTTCTGGTTACGATCGTCTCCCCGTATGTTTCTTTCGTGATATGCCTTGTACTTATCATGTTTTTGTTTAAAACTACCAGTTTTACTATGTACATGCAGAATCAATCACGTTTGTTTGACGATTTTCTGGGTCCACTTAGACTATACACCGTTTTGAGTACTGTAGAAGTGGTACATCGACTAGTAGTTGGCCTATGCATATGACCACGGAAAGTGTCCGCGTCAGTTTACCGGTACGAATGTTAGAGGGTGCAGTAGTACTCGAATGAGCAGAGAGGGTGCAGTAGTATTCGAATGAGCAGAGACCGGCACGGGTTTTTATGTGAAGACAGCAACAACAACATCTTGTCGGCACCACCGGAAGTCACGCAACAAGGCCACACAGCAGTAGCGTTTCAAACACGGGGCATGCCTGTGCTGGCAAATTTTGGCTGCTGTGACGACGAATTTTGGAGTGGCTGCTGCTGAAGCAACGTTTGTTTTTCGTTGCAAGAGGGAGCAGGAAAAGGCGAGCCGAGCTATTGTATTAGACGCGGGAGTCCTTAACGCATCGTTCCCATGATGATGGACCTAAACCAGGCCGCCGGCTGGAAAAGCAACGATTGGCACGAAAAATTGTCACATAGAACCTGGTGTCGGAGGTGAGAAGGTGTCTGGCACAGCTCTCGAGGCTTTCTGTCAAGGTGAGTGGGTGGAGATGCACGACCGTGCTCGTCACACGAACACCTCCTCTGCAGGTTGAACACCATGATACCATTATTATGCATCGACGCGTCGCACTTGATCAGCTCACTGCATTCGGCGGAGTCGCCGAGTTGCGGGCACAACTTGTTGCTATCTTCACAGTAAAATACGTTCTGAACTCTGCTTCAGTACCTTTTAACATCCGTACCGGTCCAACTGACGCGGACAACTTCCTTTTGTTGACAACAGGCAACAACTACCCGAGAAGAGTACATGGTACAATGTCGTGTTAGAAGCGTGGTTTCATTCAATAGAGTACACCACCGCCCAACAGCACACCGTCGTAAAAAACAATGCCCGCCTCACACAACGTGCAGACCCACGCGCACTCGACGTATGTATCTGCCTGGGGTACGAGTGGTGCAGCCATACCCTCGTCAATACTGCTGTGGCACCTATAGCATTCGCCTCTCCACAATATTCGCGGTATGCCTACACAACGTGCAACGTCTCCCCCCGTTTCTTCCCTCTGGCAATTGTACAGAAAGTAAAGAACACATTTAGAGCGAAAGCTCCACGTATAATAGAGCTACCGCCTTATGTAAATCTGACACAAACAACCGAAAACAGAACACAACATTTTAACATGGTATTGCGCACTCAAAACACGAACTGCAATATAAAGCCCATACCCATACACATGTGTCCTGTGTGCTTGGGAAGCCTACTCTACGGCCTGTTGCAGTTGCAAAAGAAAAGCCGCGTTACCGACTTGGGTGCATACACAGGCATTACACTAATCACGATAGACGTTCAACCATCGACGCCAACCACGACAAAAAAAAACGTTCAACTGACCATCCCTTTCCTTTCAGCACCAACAAAAAGAACACGTGACACCTATAAATAAAAACAAAACAAACTCACCCGGCTACCACGTCGTATTTCTTCTGCCCAACCCCTCTCCTTCTTTCTTCATCATGCTGCCATAGAGGGCTACAGCAGTAGCTCCGCAAAGCTCCACATCTATTCCATCCCTAACATCAACCAAATAACGAGCCCACACACACATGACCCATCCACCGCTCTACAGTTTATTCCCCCAACCTTTCAAACCGAACCTACCATTACAGCCAACCACCTGCTTTGGTAGCTCTGATGCGTGGGGCGAAAAAACCGTCACAGCAGTCCATCAGCAGGGTGGAATAGACGAGCACGGAATATGCGATTGCCTTCCTCTCCTCGAGGAAAAAGTTGGTGGTGTGCCTACCCACACGCATGCCTCTCCAATTGGACCAACTCCAGTTATGGTAGAGAGAACAACAGCGGTGTCCAGAAAAACGCCAGGAAAAACAGCAAAACAAGAACTAGAAGGTACAACAATCGCCCTTGACTAGGGAAAAAGACACGCACGACGGAATGTCAGCGGTGAGGGAACGAAAGGGAGGGGGGGGTGGGGGAGGGGCAGGGGGGTGACCACCATCGCGGTTCGCTCTGTACTTGACCCCTGGCCAATAAACGGCGTTGCTTGAATTCCCATACAAATCAGAGCCGGAATAAATCAAAGCGCCACTTAAGGTTTTGCTGAATTCGAGTGTGGCTTGGGTGTCAATCGACCAGTGCCTTTCGTAGCACACGTGCAGTACATTAACCAACTTTTCCGACTTCACGTGATCTTCCTTGGTTGTTTGCTCTTCTTTCTCGCAAGTGCAAGTACCACGAACGGATCGCACACACACAAACACGCACACGGCAAAGGCCTGACAGCACAGAATCCTGGGAGATGAAAATCGCTCGCTGGGCGGCACACATCACAACATCACATACACCCCCACGTGCAGGAAGCACGCCCGGCGCGAGCGACAGCTCCAGAGCCCCCGCTTCCTTGGCTTGGCGGGCACCTGGCTAGACCAGGCCTCCATCTTCCCAACGTACCCCGACCACCAATCCGACGGCACTGTTGCGAATAACAAAATCATACAAGTACGTCCCCGCCTTCCCCCGGTACTCGCCACATCTAACGCGCCCTTGTCTACACCCGAACAGTCAATAAAAAGAAAAAGCACAACAACTATAGTACGTACTACACGACGTCACACCCGCAGCATGCACGAGCGCACAAACCTCGGCTGGTCGAAAAGACAGGCGTTTTCCGCCGGCCGTACGGGCACGCGAAAGTGCTGCCTCCCCAAGCATTACCCGCCACTAACCGCCAACAGCGCAGAGTTGAGTGTCGAGACCATTGTGCGAGGAGCACAGCCAGCCGGCAGCAGAAAAAAAAAAGGCTTGGCGCTACTCGTTAAAACACGCCTCCGTTCACCATCCTCTTGGCCTCTGCACAAACGCCTCGATCTTCTGGGAAACCAGGTACTGTGCAGTCTGAGAAACGGTCGCGCGGCGCGGGCGTGCGAAACACCGAGGGGACGGGGTTGGTGCAGGGCAAGAACAACGGCGGACGGCGAAGCTGACTTGGAACCCGCTCGCTGTAAGAAAGCGCTCCATCCATAAGAGACCGCCATGCTCTAAAACAAAAACACGTCCCTAGACAAGAGCTGCACAAGGTTCTGGCAGGCCGCGCACATGGGAGAGTAGTTCGCAACACCCGAGGCCTCCTCCGATAAATACTCCAAACCAAACAAAGAAAAAGGCCTTTGCTTTATTTTTATTGCCCACGAATGCTCCCAGTGTGTGTTTTCGACCAACGGAAGTTGCGTGTGCTTGTGTGGCAGAAAGCTTTCACCCCCCTCAGTTCATTTCGAGCAAGCTCGGTAACCTCACCTGCGTGGCCTGCGGACCGCCGGTGATGGTGAGAATGCGGTTCTCCGTGCCGGGCATGAAAGCGTCCCTCTGGCTGACGTTGATCCTCGCCCCGCTCAGCGCCTGGAGCTCGCTAATGATGGCTCCCCCCGGACCAAGGATCGCCCCTATCATGTTGTTCGGGACGCCCACGGTAACGGTGGTGGTGGGTTGGCAAGACGCGATGGCAGCCGCGACAGGGTTCGTCATGGGCTCCATCGGGAACATCCCGAGCTGTTGCCGCGGCAGCTGCTGTGGCGGCTGCTGCTGCTGCTGCTGTTGTTGATGCTGCTGCTGCGGCGGCACTGCCATGGCCGGGTAGCCGCGAGGCTGTCCATCACCCCCGACAGTGGCGACCGGTCCGGGCATGCTCGGAGCCGCCTGCATTCCTCCTTGGTGGTACAAGTTGCCGGCAGGCGCGGGGGCGTAAGACATCGTGTACACGGGGGCGGTGGCCGAAGGGTGTGACATCGGGCCCATGGGAGCCATCTGCATTGGGCTTGACACCATCGGTCCTCCTGGGCCCATGGGGAGCGACACCACCATGGACGCCGGCTGCGGCTGCGGCTGCGGAAGCTGGATTTGCGGCGGCGGCGTCGGCGGCGCGATCGAGGCCGGAGACATGGGCAAGCGCTGCTGGTGGTGCTGGTGCTGCGGTTGCGCCTGCTGATGAAACTGAACGCCCTGGTGCTGGTACTGGTGCTGCTGTTGGAACTGCATTGATCCCGACTGCTGACGATAAAACTGGTGCTGGCGGTGGGGCTGCTGCTGGTGCATCGGCTGTTGGTGGTGGTGCTGCTGCTGATGCTGCTGTCGGAATTGCTGAGGCTGGAACCTGTTCCCCACGTTCCCCGACCCAAACCCGCGACCGACCATTCGGCCACCGCCGCGGGCACCGCGGGCTGTCCTGCGGGGCGACGACGACGACAGCCTCGGGGGAGATGTAATCCTACGACCAGTCGCACTGGTCGCCGGCGAGGAGGTAACAGAGCTTCCAATCATCACGGGGGTAACGACGGGCGAGGCGGCCGCCGCGACGGGACTGGCGGCGGCGGCGGCAGGGCTGGCGGCGGCGGCGGCCGCAGCAGCCGTGTCCGGCTCCGTGCCGGCATCCGACGCTGCTTTCTGCGGTGTGGAGGGGTCTCGGGGGGCCCGCTGGTAAGGCAGGGGGGCAGGAACGATGCCCGCCGCCATGGCCGCCTTGGAGTGGCTCGAACCGTGGCCCCGGTAGTTGACGCTGAGGTTGGCGAAGCGGGAGAGCACCGGTTCCTCCACGAGCTTGTCCACCAGCATCTCCACAGCCTGACGAGCAGCGGGCGGGGCGGTGGTGGTGGGATGGTGAGGCTAGTAGGTGGGGTGAGAAAGGGACCGGAAAGCCTTGAACTGCCCCAAGAAGATGGTATCGTCGCCAGAGCTATGCACGTACCGGTGCGTGCTTGGATGCAAAAATCATGCAGGCGATGTGCGTGCGACACACTGACAAGACTCCGAGTGCCTGCTTACCTTGGTCGCCGACGTGAGCTTGCCCTGGACCGTGACCAGCCTCTCGTGCACCTTGACGTCGGCCTTCTGCCCCAGGGTCACCTTCGCGCCCGAGGCCGCCAGGAGGGCGGCGATGTTGGCTCCTCTGCGCCCGATCACTAAGCCGCCGGCCGTGAGGGGGATGAGCAAGCGCTGAAGCGGGAGAGAGAGAAAGAGAGAGAGAAAGGGAGAGAGGGAGGAGCACAATACAGCCGGGGTTACAGTAGCGGCGAGCGGGTTGGAGAGGTCTGAAATTAGTGCCGAGGAGGGTCAAGACACGGCTTGCAGCATTGAGACCCTCAAGGGCATGTCTACCCGTTCGAATCAGTTACACAACGTGAGCAACCGGCGTGCATGTAACGCGTACGTAGTCAACCCTGCGGTGCTGCTACCCAACTCCTTTGTTACACCGGTCCACACGCCTTGTGCTGCATGACAGCAGCGGCAAAAGCACGGCGCGTTGTTTCACCTGAGTGACTTCAATGGCTTCCGCCTTTTCCTCGCTCACAAGCTTCGCACATCCCGATTCGTTGTTGTCCGGGACGTGGAGAGTGTGCAGGATCAGACCGCAGGCTTGCTGTAACCGGGAAAAGATGGGTGGGTGGGTGAGTGAGTGTAGGTTGGGGGGAAGGGGGCCAAATCGGACGCGGTATACATGATCATCTCAAACGTGTGTTGTGTCGATCACATCGAGGAAAACAAGCCTTGCAGCGAGCGTTCTTCCAGGCGGCCAGGCCTTGCCCTTTTCTGCAACGTTGCCCCAAGTTTGTTTTTCGAGATCCACCGAATCAAAGATGGATATGCCTGCATGTACGAATAAAACCACCGTTCTCTGTACGGCCCCCCACGCCCCCAATAAAACAAAAACGTCGTTGGTGTCCCGTGCTGTTCACCCAAGGGCATCTCTACCTTGTGTGTGCGGAATTTCCTCCCCCCCCCCTCCCATACCATGTCTTCTGCCGCTGTCGTGTTGTCCTCTCACCTTGACCCCCTCAGTCTCGCCCGCCACCAACACCGCTCTCTCCATCGTCCCTGGGTAGTACATCCCGCTCGTCGCGATTCGCACCATGCACGAGGCCTTCAGCTGGATCTACACGATTATTCAGCCGATGAGCGTATGGTGAAGATGGGGGGGGGGGGGGGGG